TGCGCGGGACCGGAAATCGCTCGCACTCTGTGATGGCGCGAGATCGCTTGCCCAGTGTCTTGGAGCCCTTTTGGAGTTGAGACCCCGGTGCGTCATACAGAAGGCAAACAACCAACCTTGCGATAACAGTGAATATGGACTCCGGGCCTTCTTGGGGGTCCTTTGTGGGTTGCGTCGGGCCGTCTTGAAGCCCCCTTGGGTCGTCCTGGGGCCCTCTTGGGCCGTCTTGGAAGGTTTGGGCAGTCTTAGGGTCCTTTCGGGGCTCTTTGGGGCCTTCGTGGGGACCTCCATTGGCCATCTTGGGGCTCTCTTGGGGATCTTTAGGGGCCCTCGGGGACCTCTCTTGGGCCTATCGAGGCTCTCATGGGCCGTCTTGGAGCCCTCTTGGGCCGTCTTCGGGCCGCCTTGGGGGCATCTCGTGCCGTCTCGGGGCGATCCTGAGGGCCTCTTGGGCCGTCGTGGGCGCTGCGAACACCAACGAAGCATATATGCTAAACATTTGTTTGTGAAGTAATAGTAATAATAGTACTCATAATGCAAATGACGATAAAAAAAACATAAAGCGAATACTACTAATACAAGATATAATCTTTTGAATCATAATAAGAATGGCGATACTGATACTAATATTGTTCCACCCCACACACACAGACAAAAAAAACGATGCATATATGCTAAACATACACGCTTTCCTTGGACAGCTACTGAGACGATGTGTGCCTCTGAAGCAACCCTGCTGGTTGCCTCGTGGGGCGTCTTGGGCGTCTCTTTGGCCGTCTTGCGGCCATCGTGGGCCCTCTTAGAGCACTTGTGGGCCGTCTTGGGGCCCGCTTGGACCTCCATGAAGCCGTCTTGGAGGTAGCTTGGGCGTTCTTGGGGTTGTCTTGGGCCGTCCTGGGACCTTCTGAGGCGATCTTGGGGCTGACATAGGACCGAACTGGGCCGAAGATTGGGCATCTGGGCATCGCCACGCCAACCCGTTCGCACTCCCCCTTGTTATTTGCCCGACTAGAAAATCGCAGCGTTTCGTGCTCTTTCTGTCATCCGCCGCTCCGTGTTGATTTATCACAAAGGTGCCTGGCGTGCCCAACTTTTGGAGATTCCTTGCGACACGTTGCGCCAGCCACGTGGAAGCCCGCGCAATCCGCAGAAACATCCACCTCCGTTGGCCAAGTCGCCTCCCAGACTGTCAAAACTGCCTCCAATCGCCCAATCGCCTCCAAAACGCCTGCAAGACTGCTCAAGATGGCCCCAATATGTGCACAATACGGCCCAATAACGAACGAGAGCGGCCTCCGAGACGGCGCAAGAGGCCTCCAAAACTGCCAGGGCGGCCTCCACGAGGCCCCCAAAGAAAACCCGAAGAAACCAAAATCATTGATTACCCGCTGGTTTTTGAAATGTTTGAACATTTGCTTCGGAACGGTCTTCCTACGGCCCAACACGGCCCAAAAGGTTTCCAAAATCCAACCAGCCCTGTGGGCGTAGGTGGTTTACGGCGTTTCCTCTTCCAACCCCCTTCTTCCCCTTGCGGGAAGGGGTTTATCACAGTTCCCTATTAACATACACCCCCACCCCCAGCGAGTGGAGCCAACTAGGGACAATGAGGCCCCCCCCCCGACATCCCTTGCACAAAACAATGCGAAACACCCTTTGCCTCCAACTTCGGAGCATGCGCAAAGAGCCCGATGCGGCCTCCCCCCACCATCCCTGTCAAAAAACAGTACAGGGTACACTTGGCGGCGGCAACGGGCTGCGGCGGGGGTAACGGTTGCGGCGGCTGCGGTGGTGGCGGCGGCGGCGGCGGTGGCGGTGGCGGCGGCGGCGGCGGGGGCGGCGGCGGCGGCGGCGGCGGCAGTGGTGGCGGCAACGGCTGCGGCGGCAGCGGCTGCGGCGATTGCGCGGCGGGCGGGGCGGCGGCGGCGGCGGCGGCGGACAGCGGCGGCGGCGGCGGCGGGCGGCGGCGGCGGACTGGCCCCCAGTAGCTGCCCATCCAAAGACGACTGCTGAAAATGCTGAAGCTCGGGCCAGGCTCGGGTGCTACGTATGTGTTGGGGGGGGGTGAGCGAGACGGTTTGCGGGCGGGGAATGCGTCTGGACCCCTCCCCTGATCCCGTCCCGTAGACCCGGGCGGGGGGGGGCGCGAAGCGTTGGAGCGTCCAAGGTGGCCCAAGATGGCCCCAAGAGCGCCTCGGAGAACCCAGCACGACCTCCCAAATGACTCCTGGTAACGCAAGATGTCTTAAGATGGCACCCGAAATGCTCCCGAAAGCCCCAAGACCGCTCCAAGACGGCTCCAAGTGGCCACGGACTCTCCCACGGAGGCCCCCAAAAGGCCAGACTCCGTCTAGAACCCACGGAACATCAATGTGGTCGTCTCGCCCTTTTGTCTCCGATGGCGTCAGGCCTCAAGGTCGCTCCAAGGCAGCCCCAGAGGGCCCCAAGAGAGGCCCAACATAGGCCCGAAACGGCCCCAAGAGCGCCCAAAAGCGCATCAAGAGCGTTCTAACAAGGGCCCAAAAGGCGATTTTAAGCACTCTCGAAGGGCGAGGCTGATTGAACCTTCTCCCTTGTTTGATCGATGTTCTCCAACATGGCTCCAGAAGCGCCCCACAGGCTCCCCAAAACGCCCCAAGAGGGCCCCAAGAGGCGCCCAGGAGGCCCGAAGAGGTCACACGATGGCTCCAAGATGGCCCCGAAGAGGCCCCCAAGCGGCCCTAACAGGCCCCCCTTCCCAAGGCACCCAAGATGCCCAAGAGCCCCCACGGACCGCCGAGAGGCCCCCAAGACGTCCCAAGAGGCCTCCAAGAAACGCCCAAGAGATATCCCAAGAGGCTCCGAAGGGCATCGAAGAGACCTCTGGCCCTGTTGCTTGCCATCCTCCTCCTGCTCCTCCTTCCTCCTCCTACTCATGCTTTTCCTCCTCCACCTCCTCCTCATCCTCTTCATCATCATATGGGTACTCTTTCTCCCCACTCCCTCATCCATCCATCCATCCATCCATCCATCCATCCATCCATCCATCCATCCATCCATCCAGCGTGTTCCTTGTACTCCTCCCTCCTTTTCACGGTTCGGCCGTCCACCTTTTTGGTCCCGCGCTCCAGTGATCACTTCAAATCGCGTGGACATCGTTTTTTAAAGGGCCGGCTGGGACACGCGAAGCGTATAGAATTGCCCCAAAATCGCCGAAGATGTTTCTTCGACTCCTTGGCCGCTGGCTAGGCTGGGACGGAGCTGGAGCGTCCAAGGGTGGTACCCCCGCGCCCCGCCGTGGAGGCCACCCCTTGAGGCGAGCAGGGCGGGCCCCAGGTGGACGACGCTGGCCGCCGCCCTGCCGACGTCTACCTGCCGCGGTGGCGCAACGGACGGCACGGCGACAGCCTGGGACTTTGAAACCGCGTCTGGTTCGCGCGCAGATCTCCTCGCCGCTTTGGCCGCTTCGTTGAGCGCGGCGACGGAGCGGCGCGAGGTGTTCGCAATAAACAGCGCTTTGACACCGCGCGGCTTTGCGCGGCGCAGGGTTCCGGGCTCCACCGCCCTCCCGGTGGCGGCGAAAGCCGACGGGGGCGGGCGGCGCCGCGAGGCGCGCAGGGCCTTCGGGGCCTTAGCCACGCGGGTGGCCGACGCCGCGGGGGAAGACGCCGCAACGGTTGCGGACCAACGCGCCCCGCTACTTTCCGTCTCGCGGGCGGTGTCGCGGCGCCCCCAGATGCAAATCAGATGGCCGGGGGTGGCAGCAGCCCGCCTGGCCGCGGCTGCTTCCACGGCGGACGCCGCGCAAGGCGTGCCCAGCGTGCGTAGTGCCTCCCGCCCACCCAGCAACGCTGACGCCCCCGCGCCTTCCCGCCAGCGTTGCGCTGGCGGCTCTGCGCCCCGCGCACGCCGTCTAGCCCTTCCCCGGCGGGGCGGTGGGTAATCGCGCAGGGGCTTCCCCACCAAGCCACGGCGCGCTGGGTTCGGTCGGCCACACCACGCCGCCCCGTTTGGCGACCCCGACGGCACTTCCCGACGACAGCAAGCGTCGACCCCCCCGACGCCCACCGCCCGCTCCACCGATGCGCCTGCGCCGCCTGGTCGGTGAAGCCGCCGTAGGGTCCGTAGCATCGTCGCGGGTGGCTCTTCTCTCCCCGCTGCTGGCACGGCACGTCTGCTTGCGGTTGCTGCCCCTCTCCTCCTTCTATTTTTTTCCCCCTCCATCGTCTCCTGCCCTCTGCATGCTGTCTCCGCCCCGCCCCCCTTCCGCCTGCCCGCCCGCCCCGCCATCCCCGGCCTCCCGCCTGCGCGTTCGTCGTCCTCAGCCTGCTTCTCCCCTCCTCTTCCTCCTCCGCCGGGCAACGCAGTTTGCCTGGGATGAGCGTGGCGGCGCGTAGTTAAGCCGAATTACGGGCGGCCAGCGACGGAACCTGCCCAGGCCTGCCCGCACACTTTCGAGCTTCCCAGACAGATCGCGTTCTAGGTAACACGAGGCCTCCAGGATGACCAAAAAAGCTCGCAAGATGGCCCCTCAAAGGCGCCAGGCCGGCCCAGGAGGCCTCCCCAAGACGCCCACGATGGCTTCCCCGCTCCTAAGCGCCCCAAGAGCAAGAGGGCCCCAAGAGGGCCACAAGGCGGTCCGAAGAGGCCCCCAAGACGGCTTCCGACGGCGTCAGACGGGCCAGGAATGTCGTAAGACGGTAGAAGGAGACCCCAAGAATTCCCCGAAGGCCCTCAAGCGGCTCGAAGAAGCCCCCAAGAGGCCTCCAAGACAACAGGCCCCCAGGAGGCCCCAGGAATGTCATAAGAGGCTCCCAAGAGATCTCCCCTTCTTTCTCCTCCCTCTCCTCATCATCTGTTTCCTCGCCCACGCGGTCCCCGAAAGGTTTCCACAGCGGTTCGGGGAACACCTGGTCCGATAATTTGTCCAAGATCTGGATCCAAACATTTGGCCACAGAGGCACTGTTCAAAAAGGCAGGGTGCGGCGGTGATTCACCGGGGCCCTCCGGCCCGACCCCGCGGCCTCGGCGAGGACGGTGACTCCGCCGTCGTCGGGGAGGGCGTTGCGCGGTCGGGGTTCCCGCGCCTGCGGCAGCGCGCGGCAGCGCGCTGGGGGATCTGTCCACGACCTCAGACTTCCAACGCGGTGTCAAAATCCAGACGGAAATATGTCGTTGTTGGGGGTGGGCTTCCGACCATCCCCCCCTTTCGGATCCCCCAGGCGGGGTTTGAGCTCACCCCGCCAGTAGCGGCAGAAAGCGCATTTTGCGACATTTTAAGACGGCTTGTAAGGCCCCCAAGATGCCCCTCGAGTGCCCCAAGACGGCCTAAAAGGGGCCCAAGACATTTCAAGCGGGCCGAAGAGGGAGACAAGGAAGAGGGCGGTCAGCGCATCATTGCCAGAGACATGTGCGCGGACGAGCGGGGGTCATGAAGGCTGGGCCTGAACAGATCACTGTGTCCGAGTTCTAGGGCGTTCGGGCGACGACGGCGACGGCGGCAGCGGCCAGGACGTCGCTCGGACTTCCCGGCATGGTGGCCGGGGCGGTGGTCGTTGAGCTGTTATGCAATAGCGTATTACTGAAGTTCGAAATTCCTAGCCACCACTTCGTAGTCTCAAATGGTGATTGGCACGGCGGGTGTGCCGCGCGGACCATATGCAAAACTGCAGAAACAGACAGCCAAAATACCTATCTATGTCTGTGTGTATAGACATATATATATATATCTTTATCGGAGGTTGGGGTGGCGAGATCGCTGTGGAACGGAGACCCCCAACCGGGAAATCGTTTCGTTTCGTTCGTGTCGTGAGTGCGGGCGAGGCGATGCTGCGTGTGCGCGCGAGGACGGAACCCGCCGCTGCTAGGGCGAAGTCAAGACAAATGATTCTCCCCCATCAGTCCGTCCGTCCAACGGAGGCTCGCAATGTCCCGCGGTGTCCCAGGTCCGTCCGTCCGTCTGGCGGTGGCTCGCGGTGTCCCGCGGTGTCCCGTTGTGTCCCGTGGTGTCCGCCGTTGCTGGGGCGAAGTCAAGACAAATGTTTTTCCCCCGTCCGTCCGTCCGTCCGTCCGTTGGTGGCTTGCTGTGTCCCGCGGTGTCCCGTGGTGTCCCGTGGTGTCCGCCGTCGCTAGGTCGAAATCAAGACAAATGATTCTCCCCCGTCCGTCCGTCCGTTCGGCGATGGCTCGCGGTGTCCCGCGGTGTCCCGTGGTGTGCCCGTGGTGTCCCGTGGTGTTTCGTTGAGTGAGATCGATAGTGAGATCAATGTAGTGCCCCGAGGTGTCCCGTGGTGTCCCGAAAAATGAAATCGATAGCTAGATCGACAAATTTGCCGTGGTGTCCCGTGGTGTCCCGTTGAATGAGATCGATCATGAGATCGATACTGAGATGGATGTTGTACCCCGAGGTGTCCCGTGGTGTCCCAAAAAAGTGAGATCGATAGTGATATCGATAGTGAGATCGACAGGTGTCCCGTGGAGTGAGGTCGATAATGAGATCGATAGTGAGACCAATAATGAGATCGATAAGGTGTCCCGCGGTATCCCATGGTGGCCCGTTGAGTGACAACGATAATGAGATCGATAGGGAAATCGACAAGTGTCCCGTGGTGTCCCGTGGAGTGAGATCGATAATGAGATCGAGTGGTTCCCTCCTCTCCCCCCCACAACCTCCTTATCACCCGAAGGGTGCTCGTATAGGTGTGTATATATATATATGTATATCGGAGGTTGGGGGGTGAGATCGCAGCGAAACGGAGACCCCCCACCGGGAAATCGGTTGCGATTTCGTGTTCCAGTCGTGCGTGCGTGCGAGGCGAAGCTGCGCGTGAGCCTCCTGTAGCTAAGCCGTTCCCGTCCGCCGGTGGCTGAGAGGTGTCCCAGTTGGGCCGGGCGGTGTCCCGGGTGTCCTGGGTGTCAATAGGAGCGAGGGCCCGTTTCCCGTCCGCCGGTGGCTGGGAGGTGTCCCAATTGGGCCGGGCGGTGTCCCGTGTGTCCCCATCTTGTCCAATCCAATCCATCTTATCTTATCCAACCCATATTGTCCCATCTTATCTTCACACCCAATCAAATCCACCCAATCCAATCCATCAATTAATTTGTTTCTGCGCCTGCGGCGGGCCAATCCATCTTATCTTATCCAATCCAACTATTCCAATCCAACCCATCTTATCTTATAAATTCCATCTTATCCCATCCAATCCAATCCACCCAACCCAATCCATCAATTCATTCTTGTCGGCGCCTATGATAGAGACGGAGAGAGAGGGCGAGAGAGAGAGAGACACAGAGAAAGAGAGAGAGAGAGACAGAGAGAAAGAGAGAGATGAGATCAAGGTGACAGGCTGGGAGTCAGTCAGGGTGGGCACTTGATCTCAATCCCCCCCCCAACCTCCTTATCGCCCGCAGGGCGGTCGTATGGGTGTGTGTATATATATATATATGTATGTAGTACGAGATGGTGAACACACATGTTTGCGCATTTAGCTTGTAACTGCGCGGTCAGACAGCACAAACGAACATCGCACTGCCCACCAACACATGCGAATCATTCATCCAGAATCGCGGTGGCCCCTGCGAAGCAGTGGAAGCAATAGCGACCGATACCTCCGATATTGTGTAGTTCTACGTCGCGATGAGGTCTTGACCTATCCCTGGGGCCAACCTTTCAACCCAAGTCTTGTTCTGATGGCCCGGAACCAGACAAAGGGCCTGCAGGGCCAGGAAGTTACCCTGAACCGTTTATCGTTGTTCTACGCCGCGAGGAAGTCTGGGGACGATGAGCCTTGGATCTGACGTCGCGGAAAAAACATCGCCCAAAATCACAACAGGAGCCCTGGACCCAATCATTTTGCGACAATCACCGAAACTGGACGAATAACTAGGTGAGGGCCCCGGGCTCCGAGACCGAGCGAGAACGCCCACTGTGGACAAACGGCGACGCGACGAGCAGGGGGTCTGAGGACGACGGCGACGACGACGGCGGCGGCGGCAGCGGCGGCGGCCCGTCGGGCGGCAGGCAGCGGCGGCGGCCCGTTGGACGGTGGGCCGCCTGCGGCCGGCAGGGCTGGACAGCGACCGGTGCCTGGGGCGCCGCGCGGGCCCAACCCGCGCGCGCGGGCGCGCTCTGGCCGGAGGGTTCCAAAAGGGGTTTTGGGGGAGGGGGTTTTCCAGGAGGTGTCCCTGTTTCGACGAGGCTCTGAGGCCCCCTGGGGGCTCTCTCAAAAACCCCCTCCCCGAAAACTCCCTTTGGAACCCTCCGGACTGTGCGGGCGCCGGCGCCGACGCCGACGCTGGCAACGGCGACGGGCACACGGCGACATCGCTGACGACGGCGACAGCGCCGACGGCGCCGACGACGAGGACGACGGCGAAGCCAGCGGCGTCGACAGCGATGGCGACTGTGGCAGCGCCTGCGGCTACGCCTACGGCGCTGGCCTCCGATGCCGACGCTGACGGAGCTGGTTGCGGCGGCAGAGCCGACGACGCCGCCGTCGCCGACGCGAGCCCGCGCGGTCATCACTCCCGGGAACGGGCCGCCCGCGCGCAGGCGATGGGGGAGGAGAGGGCACTCGGGGCTCTGGCTCGATGACCGTCGAGTATCGATCTTCGAGGTTTGAATGTTTTGACGTCTTAGGCTTCGAGAAGGCCTGTCGTCGTCACGGCCGGATTCCCCTCGAAGTTCTGAATGCGCCCCATGATGAGCCAGGGCCGGTGGAGACTAGAGGGCTCTCCGGTCCTGAAGTGTAATGTTTGATGGTCTTGGGAAATTTCTCTCCCTGCGAACAGTTGCGACTCGCCGACAGCATTCCGGGGGTGCCCGAATCGTCCCGAACGACCTCCAGAGGCTCAAGGAGTGCCGCATGCCCGAGGTTCGAATAAGCTGGCCCCATGGGATCCTGGCGTCGCATTGTTTCCACACCGGGCGTTCTCGTCCTGTTTCGGGCCATGAGGCCCTTGCAGATGGATCCTGTTGGAGAAACACCGCAGCAGAATGGTGTCCAGGGCTCCTGCCGGGATTTTCGACGATGTCGCGCTGCTGGATCTCAGCTGCATGCCAACACGTGGTTGTCCACCGAAGCCATTCAACACGACGCAGGCCAGTGCAGTGAGGGTCGACTAAGAGGGCTGCGTGCTATCGATGCCGACGACGCCGTCGACGACGACGTCCGCGGGAGGGCCGGGCGGAGTCGCGGGGCCTGGCCCGCTGCCGGCCTGCGTCCCCGCGCCCTGCGCCGCCGGGCCGCAGCGTCGTCGGCACGGGCGCTTCCCCCTCTGCCGTCCCTGACATCTCAAGTATGATGACCGTGAGGTGAAACGTTCGTTTGGATGAGTAACGATCGGCATACCATGCTCAATGGATCAATGATCCAATGCAAAAACCACAGACAAACCTGACAATCCAGAATGATGCATGACGACAAGACGGTCTACCCCCGATAACCCCTTGGCAAGCGGGGATCTGGACAACCCCACTGGACAACCCCTCTTGGACAAGCCTCTCCCTGGGATGTTTCCAGAAGATCCGCCACAGTGCTGCCGCTGGACACGGAGTGCGCGTGTCCTCATGTCCTTTGCCCAACTCCCCTCAACCTCAGTCTCTAGTCCTGAGGAGTGCTCCGAGGGGCCCGGGGCCCGGTTAAAAAACACCTCTTGGGGCCTGGCGCGTGCCTCCTGGGCCTTGGGCAGTGGTGACGCGTGGTCTTCCGGCAGAAGAAGACCTCGGGACGAGGCCAGGGAGGGCCCCAGACGTCACGCGGGGAGACGCGACGGGACCCAGGGAGGGCCGCAAGATCAGCCAAAGACGCCTAAGATGAGCTCAAGACGGCCCAAGAAGCCCCCAAGACGGCCCGAGAGGCCTCCGAGGTAGCCCCAAGATGGCCCAAGAGGATCCCAAGACAGCCCACGAGGGCCTTCAGACAGCCCAAGAGGGCCCCAAGAGAGGGAGGGAGCACGAGCCGAAAATCCCAGCCTTCCGCCCCAAGAGGCCCCCGGAAGGCTCCAAGAGGCGCCCAGGGGGCCCCAAGAGGCCCCCAAGAGGCCCCAAGAGGCCCCCAAGAGGCCCCCCACAGGCCCGAAAGAGGCGCCAAGAGGCCCCAAACGGCCTCCAAGAGGCGTCCAAACTGCCTCCAAGAGGCGGTCGCGGGATGGGCCGAAGGCCGTTCGATCCGCCGCCCCCTGCTGGCTTGCCAAGGGGGGCCTGGCGTGCTGAATCCTATACGACTTGGTTTGGGTTCTTTGTCCAAACGAGCTCCCCCTGGGGCTTCGGCCCAGGGCGCCGGCCACCAGGAAAGATTCCCAAATATCTCCTCCCGTTGCCCAGATCGCCTCTACGACGGCCAAGATGGCCTCCAAGATCAAGACACCTCCAATACTGCCAAGATGGCCCCAAGCGGGCCCAAGTTGGCCCCAAGATGTACTCAAGACAGCCAAAGATGCACCCAAGACGGCCCAAGATGGCTTGAAGATGGTCCAAGACGGCCCAGGAGGTCGCCAAGAGGCTCCCAAGAGGGCCCCCAGGAAGGCCCGAAGAGGCCAAATTATTGATTTCACTCAAACGTTTGAAGGATTTCAACAGTTGCTTCCTTTCGGCCTTGGGACGGCCCGAGACAGCCCAAGAGGCCCCAAAGATCACCCAAGAGGCCTCCAAGATGACCCCACAACGACCCAGGAAACCCCGAAGACGGCCCCAAGACGGCCCCGAGACGGCCCAAGAGGCCTCCAAGACGCCCAAGATGGCCTCCAAGACGGCCCCGGAGCACCCCAAGAGGGCCCCAAGTCGGCCCAGAGAAGCCCCCAAGACGACTTCCGACGGCGTCAGACGAGCCAGGAACGCCCCCAAACGGGCAAAGAAGCCCCCGAGAAGCTCTCAAAGGCCCCCAAGATGCCCCAGAAGCCCCCGAGAAGCTCTCAAAGGCCCTCAAGAAGCCCCCGAGAAGCTCTCAAGGCCCCCGAGAAGCCTCCCAAGATGCTTCCAAGATGCTCCCAGGAAGCTCCAAGGAGGCCCCAAGAGTGCCCCCAGAAACCCCAAGATGCCCCCTCCTCCTCCTCCTCCTCCTCCTCCTCCTCCTCCTCCTCCTCCTCCTCCTCCTCCTCCTTATCTTGCCCGTCATCCTCCCCCAAATGTTCCCCGAAGGGTTTCCACACCGGCTGGGGGAGCACATGGTCAGATAGCTTGGCAGAGCTCTTGCCACAACGCTCGGCCAGCTGGGCGATTCCAAGAGGCAGGTGGCGGCGGTGATTCGCCGTAGGCGTCTTCGGTAGAATAAACAGAAACTTTCGACGGTCCGCGCGGATTTCTTGGATCGGCACTGGACACCCCCCTGGCGCGCGGAGCGCGCAAGAAGCGCCGCCAGGGGGGCCCCAGCGCAGATCCAAGACGTCCGCGAGGAGCTCAGATAAATCATATTGATGAGTCGTTCCTATTCCTCTTCGGACGTGAGTAGGCGGCGAGCATGAAGAAAGTGAGAGGGGGCGGGCCTTCTCACAAGCGGCGGGGCTGCCCAGAAGCCCTCGAGCCCTCTGAGAAGTCTTGTGAGCCTTCTCCGAAGCCACAATAGGCTTCTCAGAAGACGCGAGGGCTTCCGAAGTCTTCTGAGAAGGCCTGCCCCCTCTCGCTTCACCCCTGGGCTCGCCGCCGAACCACAGGGGGGGATGGCCCAGGCGGGGAAACGTCGAGCTTCCATCGGCGATGCATGATCCAGGGCTCTGGCCCCCCTCAATGCTACTGTGATTCCCCCCCCGCTGGATATTACGCCCGTGAGCCTTGCGAAGGCCCCGCGAATGGGGCCGCACCCCCCCCGCCCCTTGTATTAAGTCGGGCCTGTCCCCCTATAGGGGGATTTTGGATGAAAGGTTAAAAATAGCCAAAACAAATTCCCAAATGGTCAAACAATAATAGAAAAATAGTCGCTGGACTAGTTTTGGACTATTGTCGAATATTCCTCCTTTAGAGGGACAGGCCCGACTTACGATTACGCCCGTGAGCCTCGCGAAGACCTCGCGAATGGGGCCGCCACCCCCCCCCCTTGTGCTCGTGGCCCTGCGGGCATGGCGCGGTACGGGGGGGTGCCAGTGCCCCCCGCCCCTCCTCCACCCTGAGGGTGTGGGGTGGTGCTGCGGTGCCGCCGTCGTCGTCGTCGTGGTCGTCGTCGGCGTCGGCGTCGGCGTCGGCGTCGTCGGCGTCGGCGTCGGCGTCGTCACCATCCCCCATCCCATCTGGGGGGGGGGCCCTCTGAACCCTCGACCCTGGATCATCTGCGCATCGCCGAAAGCTCGGCGATAGGCTCCGGACAGCAAAACCGAACGCTGCCAGGCGGGGCGGGCTGTCGGGCCCGTATCGGCACCAGGAAAGCGCCCATCTCCCCGGAGATTGCCCCTCCCCTTGAGCAGTGGGGGGTAGGCAAGGCTGGGGTTGGAATCGACTCGCGTTGCTGATTTTCCCAGCGCCTCCGGGCGCCGGCTCGCGCTAAAATCGAGGGGCAGACATGTGAATGATGCCCCTGTGGTTCACGCCTGACCCCCGTCGCATAGGACGTGCGGGGGTGCAACGAGATGAGGGGGAGAGGAACGAGGAGGACGACGAGGAGGTGTCAGCATGGGAGCAGGGGTAGCATAATGCATACGCATGCCCATAGCTTTGCGGCACAAGAGGTTTGCATTGGGAGTGTCCCCTTCGCAAACCCCCCTGCGGGCAGCATGGCCAAACCATGGGAACAAGCAGGGACGCTCCGGACGGAAAGCTCTTGAAGCGGATCCTCGACAAGGCTTTTCAAAGCTGCCGCTTATGATGACTCTGGTGGGAGTCAGGGCAAAAGCGTCGCTAAAATCTTACATGCCGATTGCTCCCACACGGGGTGTGTGGAGCTCAAGGCGCGGTACATCGCGGCGTCGGACGGTTACTACGCGCACTGGATGCGCCCGGGGGGCCACCCCCAAGAGGGTCTTTACCACCTTTGTAATAAGTCTGGCAGGAGGTGCCGCAACCAGGGGGTGCAGCCTAATTTCCTGCGTCCACGTCGAGTCCTGGAGGTTGTTAACCTGGGAGGACATCGAGGAGGACAAGGCTGCCTGGATCAGATGCCCAGCAAGCAAGGAGGCGCTCGTCGAGGCTACGGAGGGCGCCAGGCTTGAGGACCGTAGACGCGGCCCCGCAACAGAAGCCGCAGCCGACGGCGGTGCAGAGGCTGGCAGGGCCGACCGCCGCGCCGCCCTGGGAGCCGCCCATTCGGGCGCTCCCGACGGCGACCTGTGGGCCGGTGCCGTGGGGCGCGGCGCGGCGCGCGGCGCGGCGCGCGGGGGCGTCTCGGTGCGCCGTGGCTTGGGGGACTTGCGCGCGGACCTGGGGGCCGGCCCAGGCCGGGGCGCGACCGCGGCCGCCGAGGAGAGAGGAGCCAGAGCCACCCCTGGGGAGCAGCCGAGGGCGGTCCTGGCCCCGGAGCTCGTGAATAATGCAGCGACCGACCGTCCCGGCACTCCTAGAATAGGCCTGAACCCAGACATTTTCTGAGAACAAAAGAAGTGTTCTTAGAACATAAACCCGATGTATTATAACAAGACCGTCTCAGCTAGGAGTGTTCCAAGAACATCTCGTGCAGACCACAAAAGGTTACTCGACCATTCTTTGGTGGGCTTGTAGGCAAGCCGGGACGCTTCGCCACCACTTGAAAGAGGGGCGAAACCACGAGACGCCGCTCTTCGGAGGGAAGCCGGGCCCGGCGGGCGCGCGCGAACGCAGCCGCTGGAGCGCAGGAGCCCTGACCGGCGCCGCGAGGCAGCCGAGGGAGAGGCTGGCCTTGAGCCCCGCGGAGAGCGGAGACGCACGCCGCTTCCGAGGGGCCTCGTCGTTGCGCCGACGCGACGAGCGGGAGCGCCGCCGCCGTCGCCGTTCTCGTTGCCTCAGCAGGCGGTCGCGGTCGGAGGCAAGTCTTCACTTGGCCTCGACTTCGGGATTACCGTTCCGTGGGCTCCTAGGAGCGGTCGGTGCAGTACGAACGGAGACAGGAAAGGGAGATTGCCGCTCGGCCTTCAGTCAGATGATGGCGAGCGCCGTCACACCCGAAGGCGAGGCGAACGGCGACGTCGAACACAACCCCGAGGCCCCGCAAGCAGTCGCGAGCGCGTACTACCTGTGTGTGCTCACGACCAGATACCTGAGCCTGTCGAAGGGGAACGCGGGGGACGCGGCGCTCCTGTGCAAGATCCTCGGCCTACTGGCGAGGAACAAGCCG